CTACTTACAACTCTGTTAACACTGCTGTTATAGAATGAAAGCAGCCACAGGCAGTATGTAAATGAACAAGCATAGCTGTGTTCTAATAAAATTATATGTATGAACACTGAAATTTCATTTCATATAATTTTCACCTTATTCACATTGGTTTTCTTTGATTTTTTTTTCAACCATTGGAAAATGCAAAAGACATTCTTAGCTCACAGGCCATACAAAACCAGGCAGTGGGTCAGATTTGGCCCATGGGTTATAGTGTGCCCACCTTCACTCTGGATCACGTGTCCAGTTCATACTAAAGATGTTGATAGACACTTGCCTTATTTCCACCTCATAACAGGGCCAATTTTAATTCTACTCCATAAACATTGGCGAAAATGAATAGAATACTATACTATAGAGAAGTTCAAAGCTGAATGAGTCACCATCTTTATCCTTAAGGTACATACACTGCATGGCCAATGTTGCACAAATACTCCAGAAGACAAAATGTCGTAAGTCATATGGTACAGACACAGTAACTACAAAACAGACTCAGAAGGGCCTGGTGACTGGACATAGAGAGATAGAGATAAACCTTGTCTCATTGAATTCCCCCATTTATCCCATCTTCCACACTCCTCTACACACACACACACACACACACACACACACACACACACACACACATTCTAGGCCTTAATCATTTTAGTCATAACAGATTGCTTTCAGTACGGGAATACTCCAAGGTTTTCACATCTCCATAACCTTTCAGGTAGGGAGCTCGTGTTTTTCTTTCTCTGTAAGTGCTTTCTCTGTTTTGTGTCTCTAAGAAGCACATGTTCATCTTCTAAGATTTAGCTCATGCATTATATCTTTTATAGTCTGACCTTTCCCGAACCTCTTGCCCAAGCCCCTCTTAGTGTAATTGGTAACTTCTTCCTATGCGCCTCCTCAGCAGACTCTTCCGTCACAGCGTTTGTATACTTTTCTGTTCTCCTTTCTCCATCTTCATCTGATGAACTCGAGGAACTTGTGGGCAGTGACCATGTATAGTCATGGTTTTATGTCAGGCATTGAGCACAGAGCTTCCCTGTTGTAATCTTCAGAATGTTTGGCGATCGCTTGAATGAACGATGCCATGTCAGCTTTCGGCCTTGGCAATTGGGAGCGTAATAGTAACATAGTGGCACCCCCTCATCCGTGTTTTCACTCTTGCAGTTTCCGTGACTGCGGTCAACTGCGGTTGAAAAGCAGATGACCGGGGCGCCTGGGTGGCTCAGTCGGTTAAGCGGCCGACTTCAGCTCGGGTCATGATCTCGCGGTCCGTGAGTTCGAGCCCCGCGTCGGGCTCTGTGCTGACAGCTCAGAGCCTGGAGCCTGTTTCGGATTCTGTGTCTCCCTCTCTCTGACCCTCCCCCGTTCATGCTTTGTCTCTCTCTGTCTCAAAAATAAAAAACGTTAAAAAAAAAAAAAAGAAAAGCAGATGACCCTCCTCTGACACATCATCACAAAGTCAGTAGTAGCCTCACGCTATGTCACAACGCCTGGGTCATTCACCTCACATGTCATCACGTAGACATTTTATTATCTCACACCATCACAAGAAGTACAATGATATTCTGAGAGAGAGTTATTCATATAATTTTTATTATAGTACATTGTTACAGTTGTCCTATTTTATTATTAGTTATTGTTAATCCCTTACTGTGCCTAATCTATAAATTAAATGCATCATTGGTATGATGTATAGGAAAAGACATAGTATAAATATAGGGTTTAGTACTATCTGCAGTTTCAGGCATCCCCTAGGGGTCCACGGGAATGTATCCGGTGACTGGGGGGAGGCTACTTATGACACAACACGGAGGTGGGTAAGTGGGACTGTGGGCTATGCTAGATTGAAAGGGGAGGAGACGGAGGCTAGAAACAGAGGCAGACTACCTCTTCCTCCAAAATTTTATAAAAGATGGGCTATAGTTTGAGTGAAAACCACATCAAAAGAAATTTTTCGAAGATGGGGGGAAGTTTGATCATCTTCTTTGGTTGTGGCAGGTTGGATGCTGTAGGAGTAGATTCTGAGATGGAATTTAGGTGCTTGCTTCGTCAGCACGTATACCAAAATTGAGATGGAACTTAGTGTGCCAGGTGTTTATTAAGGAGCGGCCTGGGTACCAACATCTGTGGAAAAGAAGGGAAGGAAGCATGAGTGTGTGAAACGGGAAGTCGAGCAACCTCAGTGACAGCTTGACCGTCCTCTCCTGCAAAGAAATAATATGTATTATTACAAGGGACAAGTGGTAAGTGGAGTAATATGGCTGTAAGGTCCTTACATTATGGATAGTAATATTATTTGAATGTAGATTGTAGTAAGTTAGATATACATATTATAATCTCCAGAACAATCATTAAAAATACACATATACGCGAAGATTAATACAATGATAAAATAACTTGATTCACTCAAAAGAAAGCAGGAAAAGAGGAACGAAGAAACAGCTAATAAAAAACAATAACCCGGGGCGCCTGGGTGGCGCAGTCGGTTAAGCGTCCGACTTCAGCCAGGTCATGATCTCGCGGTCCGGGAGTTCGAGCCCCGCGTCGGGCTCTGGGCTGATGGCTCAGAGCCTGGAGCCTGTTTCCGATTCTGTGTCTCCCTCTCTCTCTCTGCCCCTCCCCTGTTCATGCTCTGTCTCTCTCTGTCCCAAAAATAAATAAACGTTGAAAAAAAAATTAAAAAAAAAAAAAACAAATACCCTCTGGCAGACTTAAAACTAAGGATGTTATTAATTACATTAAATTCAAATTGCCTAATAATGCCATGTAAAAGGTAGAGATTGTCAGTCTACACAACATGGAAAGAATTACATACCGTTTATGAAAACACACTTTATTATTTTTATTTAAAAAAATTTTAATGTTCTTTTGTTTTTGAGAGAGAGAGAGAGAGGCCATGTGAACAGGGGTAGGGGAGGGGCGAGAGAGACGGAGACACAGAACTGGAAGCGGCCTCCAGGCTCCGCGCTGTGAGCACAGATCCCGACACGGGGCTCGAACTCACGAACTGTGAGATCATGACCTGAGCCAAAGTCCGACGTTTGACTGAGCCACCCAGGCACCCCGAAAACACACTTTAAATACAAAGACATGCAGAATGAAAGTAAAAGTGAAAAATTGTATATCATGTGAACTCTAACTGTAAGAAAATTTCTGTGCTATGTTAATATCTGACAAAATAGAGTGTTACCAGAGGAAAATAGGGATATTTCATAATGATAAGTGGGTCAATTTATCAAAAATGCTGAACAATCTTGTTATAAAATTGAATCACCTAAGAACAGAGCCTCAAAAGAAATGAATTAAAAGTTGACAGAACTAATAGACAAATAGCCAACTTCATAATAATAATTGGAGATTTTTATCATATCTGTCTGTAAGTCATTGATATAACAAACAGACAAAAAAATCAGGACAAGTGTGTAAGATTTGAAGATCATTATCAGGTATCTTGATCTACTTGACATTGGTAGAAACACTACACTCAGCAACTGCAGAATGCACGTGGTACATTCACCAAAATAGGCTATATACTAGACCATAAAATAAGTCTTAGCGAATCTGTAATGATGGTAGTCATACAGAGTACATCCTCTGACCTTTACAGGACTAGATTTGAAATGAATAACAATATGTCTAGGGGATGTGCAATTTTTTGGTAGTCAAGCAGTATATTTCTAAATAATCCATAGGTCAAAGAAGGTTTTCTGGGGAAAATTAGAAAATATTTTGAGCTGAATGATAATGAAGCAACATTTCAAAATGTATGAGATATGATTAAAATAGTACTTCCAGGGGCGCCTGGGTGGCGCAGTCGGTTAAGCGTCCGACTTCAGCCAGGTCACGATCTCGCGGTCAGGGAGTTCGAGCCCCGCGTCGGGCTCTGGGCTGATGGCTCGGAGCCTGGAGCCTGTTTCCGATTCTGTGACTCCCTCTCTCTCTGCCCCTCCCCCATTCATGCTCTGTCTCTCTCTGACCCAAAAATAAATAAACGTTGAAAAAAAAAAATAGTACTTCCAGGGAGATTTATAGCTTTATATGTCCCTGTTTGAAAAATAAGCAGTATAAAATTAATAATCAAAGTTTCCACCTAAATTAGGAAAACATCAAATTAAAGTCAAAGTAAAAATGTAAAGGAACTAACAGAGAAAGAGGCGCAAAGTAGCAAAAACTCCTGTATCACCATTGTTATTTTACTTTCTCTGGAAATAGCAGCCAATGCTAGACTTTGAATTTTATACTTTCTGAGCTATAAAAGAAATGAAACGATAAAATGTGGAAGGGGGAAATAAAATTCAAATTATTTCCCCAGAAATTAAGTTGATACCTGAAAAGAGGAAACAACCCCCATATTATTTATTTAGTATCATAGTTTAATACAAAATTAAGATGAAAGCAAATATGCTAATTTTTAAATAGCAGTCAAAGAGAAAACACGATTAAAGAAAATAGTTCCCTTACAATAGCAGTGAAGGTAGTAAAATATCTAGGAGTAAATGTTAAAAAAAAAAAAAAGAGGAAATGGAAAGATCTGTATGAAGAAGACACATGAAAGCTTGAATAAATGAAGAGTCACAAACTGGCCTTGTACAGAAAGACTCAATATCCTATGAAGGTCGACTCTCCCTAAACCCCAGACTTTGCAGAATCCCGATAAAAATGCTCATGAAGTACTTTTAAGGAATGACAAAGTTGATATTAATGTGTTTATGGAAATTTTACAGAAGTTTAACGGGGAAGGAGGCCTGACTCTGTCAAACATCAAAATATACCATGAAGTTACAATGGTTAAGATATCAACAAATAGACAAATCAGTGGAACCAGATGGCTCAGAAATACACTGAAAGAGAGAGACATCTATGTCAGCATGTGGACTTGAAATTAAAGTTGATACTTCCAAGACAAATGAAAATAGTGCATTCATTTCCACATATCCTTGCATAAACATAATATTATCTAATTACCTAAAATGGGTGAGTCTGCTGTGAACAAGTGATATCGTGATATTGGGCATTATTAGTGAGGTGGAGCATCCCTTTACAAAAATAACTGTCAGCCATTTCATGTTCCTCTTCTATTAATTGTCATGTAGATAAATCTATTAGTTTTTTCCTAAGATTGCAAAAATAGTTTTTACTTTCTTACAGTTTTGCCTTCTGAAGTTTAGCGTTTAACCTATTGAAATTTGTTTTTGTATTTAGAATAAGTAGGGCTCCCCTTTTTTCCTCCTATATAAGAGAAGCCAATTTATAATCGCAACCATTAAAACATTCCATCCTTGCCCTGATGATCTGAAGTGCCACGTTAATTATATACTAGTTTCTGGAATAGACTTTGCTACATAAGCATAACTCGTAGGGCATGTCCCCACCTTCTTCCGCTTTTGCACATTTAAAAAAATTGAGTTAGCTATTCATTATTCATGAGCACTTATTTTCTATATAAATTTTAGAATAAGCCTTAGATTCTTTCTTCTGCCTCTTGAAAAACATACTGGTATATGTGAGCCGACCTTAATCAAACACTTGATATATGTCAATTGATAGGATCATATGAGTTTTCTTGTTTGATCTATCATTATGTTGAATCATATCGATAAGTGTTTTTTTTTTTTAGATATCAAGTTATCTTTGCCTTTGTGGAGTGAACCTGCTTGATTATTACATATTATATTTTAAATATGCTCTTGGATTTTATTGGTTAGTCTTTTGCTTTGGATTTTTGCACTTGTATTTATATAAGGAATTAGTTTGTTCCTCTTTTGAATATTCACATTACACAAGCCTCATAAAATTGATTGAGAAGTTTTCCTTCTTGTAGTTTCTGAAACCATCTGTATAAAATAAGGATTATCTATTCCTTCAAAATTAACCCACCTGTAAAACCAATTGGGTTTGGGGTTTTTTCTTGAGGAAATATTTATGTTTGTCATTTAACTTCCTTTGATTTTTATTAATATGTTCAATTTCTCCTTTCCAATTTTGGACTATGGGAGATTTCCATACATTTACTAATTTCTTCCACGTGTTCAAATTTCGTGCTGATAGTTGTTCATAATGTATATTTATTTTGTCTCATCTCTGTCTTAGCTATAGTTACCCCTCCTTTTATATTGTATGTTTTTAAGCCTTCTGATTTCTCCTCTTCACTCTCTTGATTACTCATGTCTGGGTTTCTTCAAAGAACAATTTCTACTTTTGTTCATTTTCCTCCTCTTTCTAGCCACGGTTCTCCAAGTCATGGATTTCTGTCTTTATCTTTATTATTTCCTCTCTCCCTGTTATTCTGGATTCATACTGATGTTCTGTTTAGCTTCCTGTGTCAAACACTTGGATAATTTGTTTTCACTGTTCCCTAATGTTTCCCTCTAGGTACTGCTTTGATTTTAGCCAATAAATGTTGACATATAGGGCTTTCATCATTGGTCTACCCTAAGTATTTTGTAATAACTCATAACATCTTTTTAAAATCATGGATTCTTAATAGCATTTTATTTGTTTGTTTCTAGCATTGAGTTTTAGAGGGTAACAACTTTTATGGTGCCAGCTCTGTCATTAGTAAAGGTTTTTTTTTTTTCCTTCCTCTCTTGGTCCTACATTTTATTAGGAAGCACTTAAAGAATGAGCCTCCATTCATTCAGAAATTAAGGACCAGTCTGTATTAGAAATGTGTGCTCTCTATTAGCTGGTCCAAAAAGTATCTACCACTCTTCCCATTTATTCTTTCTCTCTTCCTCTTTATATACAAACACCTACAAAATCATTTCTTCTTCTTTTCTTTTTTTTTATTTCTCTGTTCTTTCTTTTATCTCTTCATTTTTTTGAAGTTGTGCATTCTTGTATCTTGCCAACTTGGGCTTTTTGAAAAAAAGTATTTCAAATCAACAATGAAGAATTTTTTAATATAAGTAAATCCTACGCTGTGTTCAAGGCATATTTATACTATGGAAATTCTTTATTGTTTCTGATATTCAAATTTAAGTGAACATCTTGTTAAGTTTTGCTTATTTTGCTAAATTTGGCAACACTTTTTTAAATTTAATTAGTTGAATACTAATCCTCTATTTAGAAATGACTTCAACCATCCAGAAAACTGTCCAGATTTCATTATTTAGCAAAAAAGAAAAACTCATATATAGAAGGCATCAAGTCTAATCATTACTTTGGATTCTTTGACATTTTGTTCATAGGAAAGTGGTTAGATCTCTTTGTTAAAGCTTATTTACCTTACCTAGAATTTTAATAATATTAATTTTCTGACTTTTCAATCCGCTACAGAAAAGGAGCAACAAATTAGTAGGGAGATAGAAACTGGGAGAAGACCTGTATTCAGAGGAGCAGTATTATAAGCCCTATTTTTACCACTAGTCAGTTAAATAACCTTATATAAATCATACAGCCTTCTTGGACATCAATTTTATTAGCTTTAAAATGAGGTATTTGGGGGCACCTGGGTGGCTCAGTCAGCTGAGCATCCAACTCTTGATTTCGGCTCAGGTCATGATCTCACAGTTTGTGAATTCAAGACCCACGTCAGGCTCCATGCTGACAGTGCGAGGCCTGCTTGGGATTCTCTCACTCTGCCTCTTCCCCACTCATGCTCGCTCTCTTTCTCTCTCTCTCTCTTTCTCTCTCTCCCTCTCTCTCCCTCCCCCCCTCCCTCCCCCCCCCCCCGCATGTCTCTGTCTCAAAATAAATAAATAAACTTTTAAACTGAGGTGTTTGGACTAGATGATTCCTTCCAGTCTGTATTTTTTTTATTTTTATTTTTTCAATATATGAAGTTTATTGTCAAATTGGTTTCCATACAACACCCAGTGCTCATCCCAAAAGGTGCCCTCCTCAATATCCCTCAGCCACCCTCCCCTCCCTCCCACCCCCCGTCAACCCTCAGTTTGTTCTCGGTTTTTAAGAGTCTCTTATGCTTTGGCTCTCTTCCACTCTATTTTCATTTAAGCTTGATGGTGAACTTAAAAAAGAAAGAGATAATAAATATGAATAACAGAATTCCAGTTGTAGGCTACCAAATGCTAAGAGCAAAAAGAAGTATATCTGCTGATACCTTTAGAGCTTTGCTACTCACAATGTGGTTGGCATCCAGAAGCATCCACATCACTTGAGAGATAGGTAGGACTGCAGAACCTCAGCTCTACTAAATCAGAATTGGCATTTTAAAACAAGACCTTCAGGCGAGCTGTAGGTACTAAAGTTTGGAGAGCACTGCCTTATAGGGTTGTTATCTTAGCATTCAGGAAAATAATTGATGTTCAAAATGAGGCCTCCAATTTACCAAGTAAAAATTTGGTTAAGTACAGGATTCCCTAGTGAAGAGGCCAGGAGCATTTATAATAGGTATTAGAATTATTTCTGTACACACCCCTGACATTTCTAAACAGGTCTTGCCTTTCAAAGGAAAACCTGTTTAGAAAATCAGTCTGTGTGGATCCCTGCCTTCCCTGGGAATCCTGCAAAAACAAAGGTGACTATGTGTAACACGATTTTCATTTCCACCAGAGACTAGACTGGTGCACTGAAAGAGGAACTTCATTTCCCAGTGGCTCAACAGTTTCTCCCCAGAAGGAAAAGCACCCATTTTCCACTTTCCCGTCTGATTGCTACTTCTGTAACTTTTCATTGATTGACATGGAAGCTTTTTCACACCCTTGACGCAACATCTTATCTGACTCTAAGTGACATGAGTAATTGGGATGGCGATCTTTCTCAACGGGGTGTGGGGAGGCTTGCCTGGCTCTGGAGTGCGCTCCTTCATTCCCTCACTTACACATTCTTGTTCCCAAGAGAAGCTTCTCCGTATGCATTCCATAATACCTTCCCTCATTCTCAGTTTGTCTTGTGCGGAGTGTCCCCAGGATTCAGAGTCTGAGGCGAAGATTTGATGCAAGTTTATCGAGAACTTTTCCTAAGATCAACACTTGTTGGGGGAGTGAAAGAACTAGAAAGTAGTGAGAGGAGGGCTGTGAGATGGCCATGTGACAGCGTTGGCATCCCACACGGAGCTGGATGGCCCTCAGAGTTCTCCTACCTGTACACCACTCACTCCTATCAAAAGGCCACTGGACGTGGGTTTCTTCCCTCTCCAGCCTCCCCAGAAGAGTGCCATGAGCTTGTGGGGTCGTTCTTCCTTGGAGGGCAGTTTCCAGAAGGAGACTTTGCCATGGGTTGAGTGCTCAGTCATGAAGGAGGCGGTCTCACAGTATCTCCCAGATTTCACAGTGGACCCCCACACCGCAGTATCCGCCACAGATTTGGTTTCCCTCTTTCTGAGCCCCCTTCTGAGTTGCACGGGCTCTTCTAACACAGAGTCTCTGCAGACTTAGCCCTGGTGTCTAAAATCACAGATGAGGAAATGCTGTTAGAAAGAAGTGAGACAACAAGCTGATTCTGATCTGAGTCCTTCCATTGACTTGCCGAGTCACACATTTCCAAGTGTCTCCCCCTGGATGGTGGGGGGTCATAATGGTGCTCCCTCTTTATTTCCCAAAATGACAACTTGACTTTACTCTTCCATAAAGAGAATCACATAAGCCCATAGTGTTTATAGCCGTACCTGTACTATGAAGGAATATAACATAGGATATCAGCTGAGTTTTGACCAAAGCAAGGGAGACAGGCTTGGATGTGGGAAGGAAGTCAAACCAGGTTCAAAACTGTTTCCCATTCTGACTCACATCGTCACGTATGGAGACTACTGAGACAGGTCAGTGGCAAGATGCTAGTTGCCTCACAGCCTCCCTTCCTCTGTTAGATTTGGATGTCAGGTAAGATCCCCTGAAACTGTGAGAATTAATCTCTCTGCCCTGTCAAATTTCTTAAGTCTACAAAGGTAGCAATATTATTAGGGTGGGCCATATGAAATTGCCAACATTTGATAATTTTTCATCTACAAAAAAGGCACATGGTTCAACCAATAGTGCAAGCACTTTTTATGTATTCATTAAAAAAAAATTTATAAGGGTTCCCCGGGTGGCTCAGTCGGTTGAGCGACCGACTTCGGCTCGGGTCATGATCTCACAGTTTGTGGGTTCAAGTCCCACATTGGGCTCTGTGCTGACGGCTCGGAGCCTGGAGCCAGCTTCGAATTCTGTATCTCCCTCTCTTTCTGCCCCTAACCCACTCACATTCTGTCTCTGTCTCTCTCAAAAATAAATAAACATTTAAAAAAATTTTAAAAAATTTATAATGTTTATTTATTTTTGAGAGAGAGAGAGAGAGAGAGAGAGAGAGAGAGAGAGAGAGAGGAGAGAAGGAGTGTGGGTGGGGAGGGGCAGAGAGAGAGGGAGACACAGAATCTGAAGTAGACTCCAGGCTATGAGCCATCAGCACAGAGCCTGATGCGGGGATTGAACCCATGAACCGTGAGATCATGACCTGAGCCGAAGTTGGACGCTTAACCAACTGAGCCACCCAGGCACACCAATAGTGCAAGCATTCTTAATATGATTTCTGTTGACCCCTAATTGGACTACAAATAGCTTTTAAAGGGTTCTTGTAGCTTTCAGAAATTGTGGGAATTTCCCAAATTGTGGGAAACTTTTATGCCTAAGTGTTTGTGTGACTTCATTTTGGGGGAAAATGATGTTTTACCCACTTTTGTTGACGGGTGTCAACAAATTTTATAGGGAGTTTGTGACTTCCTGCTCACCCCAAATTAAGAAGCATTGGGTAGTCAAAAGAATACAGAACTTGAAGGTGGGGAAACCCAAATTCCTACCTCTCTAGACTTGAGCTAGAGGAAATCACTTAACCTCCTCAAAACCTACTTTCCACTTCTATGATATGACTTTTTGTATACTGGGGATATTATCGTACAAAAATCTCCAATAGGAATAAAAACCCAAGGAACTTTATGGAGGCTCCAGCAAAGCATGTGAGCATACTTGGCGTGCTGTAAAGTGCTATACAAAGAGAATGTAGTGTCCTTCCTGTTCAAGGGCCTCCCCTGTCTCTCTGGAATCAGGATGTGCCATAGAGGAGTGAAAAGGAGAGGCGCAGAAAAAATAACAACCCAGTAACTAACCAAAAGCATTTAAAAACCTCAGCGAAGATTCTTTTCAAGTTTCTGGTATAGTTTCAGGGTCTGCTATCCAGTGACCACCACAAAGGATGACCTGGAAGTCGAAATGCTTGGCTTGGGAGTATTACTGAGTGTGTCTGTACCCAGTAGGCAGACTGAAGAGGGGTTTCTTAAGCCCAAACAGTTCTTCACTACGGAACATTCTTTCAATCTTACCCTTCACCAGTGGCCAGAAGTTAGATCCAGGAGTTAATGTCGAGGCTTTGGATGAAAAAGCCATTGAGTGTGGTGGACTGGTTTTCCAGGTCTGTATGCGAGTCAGTATCTGTCTGTCTGTCTCTCCAATCTGTTTCTCTAGTTCAGAGTATTTTGCAATGGATTCACTGAGCTCATTTCACTGGCAGTCCCTCTATCTTGAACACCATTCCTTCAGTCCTGAGAATCCCTCGCTTTTCTAAAAGATTCTGCCTCCTTTCTGACATCTAGCTCTAGTTTTTCTTCGTAAGAGCTAAGTTCAAATTAATCTCATATTGCTAATGTAATACAAGAATGCAATCTCCTTGCTAAAACGAATAATACAGTATTACGGATGAAGCTAATAATCCCCTTGACCTCTTAGCGTCTTGGATTTTTCTCTTGGGGTGTGCCTGGTGCTCATTTTAGATCTGGATAGTTCTCCAGGAGGTGAACTATCTGGTACCCTTTATCCTGAAGGGGAAGCTGTTCACATAATGCATTTGGTGTGGTGATTAAAGAAGTGTCACACCATAGTGGCAAAAGTGGCACAGGGGTAGAACAAGAAGAACTTCACATTGCCCACGTACCTGTTCCAGCCGATACCTAGCTTTTACATCTAGGAACATAAAACTCATTATGTATTTTGTATAAAGTGAAAATAGTGTGGACTATAATACTATATTAAAATAGCTGTGATTTAGCTGTGGGAAAAGCAACTTTTAAAAATATCTTTGGGGCGCCTGGGTGGCTCAGTTGGTTGGGCAGCTGACTTCGGCTCAGGTCACGATCACACAGCTCGTGAGTGAGTTCGAGCCCCATGTCGGGCTCTGTGCTGACAGCTCAGAGCCCGGATCCTGCTTCGGATCCTGTGTCTCCCTCTCTTTCTGCCTCTTCCCCACTCACGCTCTGTTTCTCTCTCTCTCTCAAAAACAAATAAACATTAAAAATTTTTTTTAAATATCATCTTTGATGCTTAACAGCACTCATCATCAAGGAGAGGCAAATCAAAAACACAATAAGGTATCACTTTATGCTTGTCAGAATGGCTAGAATCAAAGAGACAAATAACAAGTACTGGCGAGGATGTGGAGAAAAAGGAAACCTCGTACGCTCTCGGTGGGAATGCAAGTTGATGCAGCCACTGTGGAAAACAGTATGGAGGTCCCTCAAAAAATTAAAAACAGAAACATCATACAATCCAGTAATTCCACTAATGGGTATTTTCTCAAAGAAAATACTAATTTGAAAAGATATATGCCCCCCTATGTTCATTGCAGCATTATTTAAAATAGCCAAGATATGGAAGCATCCCAAGTGTCCATGGATAGATGAATGGATAAAGAAGATGTGGCATATAAATACAATGGAATATATCTCAGCCATAAAAAAGAATGAGATCTTGCCTTTGCAACAACATGGGCGGACCTAATGGGTTTAATGCTAGGGGAAATAAGCCAGTCAGAGAAAGACAAATACCGTATGTGGAATTTAAGAAATTCCACAAAATAAATAAAGAGGCAAAGGAAAAAAGGAGGGAAACTAAAAAACCAGACTCTTCAATACAGAGAACAAACAGGTGGCTGCCGGAGGGGTGGTGGGTGGATGGGTGAAGATAAAGGGGATTAAGAGGCATAAACTTCCAGTTACCAAACAAATAAGTCACAGCGATGAAAAGTACAGCATAGGGAATACAGTCAATAAGATTGTGAAAATGTCGTTGGGTGACAGATAATGACTAATCTATTGGGATCACTGAGTAATGGGTGGCGTTGTTCAATCATGTGTTGTATGTTTGAAACTAATGTAACACTGTATGTTAAGTATACTTCAATGAAAGTCATCATCTTTAAGTAAGGAATACACCTTTACTATTCTAATTATACTGTCAATTTTAGAAGTTTCTTTGTCTACATGTGTACACAGCAAAGTAGGTTTTTGATAAACACATATTGAACTGAATTTTTGAAAAGTCTATTGAAAGAGTTATATATAGGGGCGCCTGGGTGGCGCAGTTGGTTAAGCGGCCGACTTCAACCAGGTCACGATCTCGCGGTCCGTGAGTTCGAGCCCCGCGTCGGGCTCTGGGCTGATGGCTCGGAGCCTGGAGTCTGTTTCCGATTCTGTGTCTCCCTCTCTCTCTCTGCCCCTCCCCCGTTCATGCTCTGTCTCTCTCTGTCCCAAAAATAAATAAACGTTGATAATTAAACAATAAACTTTAAAAAAAAAAAAAAAGAAAGAGTTATATATATATATATATATATACACACATATATATATATATGATGTATTTTTCATGGATTCCATTTATAGAGATTATACTCTGTATCAAAAGCCTTGGATATCACCAGTGTCTATAGAAGTAGAACCTGGAATACCAACTCACATTTCTACATGTGCCAATTTAAAATAGCATATGTGAGGGGCGCCTGGGTGGCGCAGTTGGTTAAGCGTCGACTTCAGCCAGGTCACGATCTCACGGTCCGTGAGTTCGAGCCCCGCGTCGGGCTCTGGGCTGATGGCTCGGAGTCTGGAGCCTGTTTCCGATTCTGTGTCTCCCTCTCTCTCTGCCCCTCCCCCGTTCATGCTCTGACTCTCTCTGTCCCACAAATAAATAAACGTTGAAAAATAAATAAAAAAAATAAAATAAAATAGCATATGTGAAATTTTTCAGCCGGCAGATGTTGGAAAAGCATAATTCCCCGTGCACCAAAATATATAGGTGTATGTTTAATTTTGAAATTCTATTCTTTACTCTCATCTTTCTGAAGTACCAACAAAATAAAACACACTTCTCTTTGGAAATAAGAATTATTTCACGAATTAATTTATGAACATTGAGTTCTTAACTAGATGAGAGCCACGGTCTAATCCTTACAATAGCCTCACGAGACAGGTAGTAAGTCTGTGTTTGGGATGTGCAAAGAGGAACTTTAGGCTCAGAGGGGAGGGATGGGCTGCTCGGATTTCACCAGCTAGTAAGGATGGAGCTAAGAGTCACTGAAGTTTCTGCCTGGCACCCCTCTCTCCAGAATGGTGAACTTACTTCGGTCTTTTCATTCTGGCTCAGGTTGGTGGGTATGCGCATATGTGCACATTCAAGCCAGTCTCTGCTTTAGAGGCTCCGATAGTTGTAGGAGAGTTCATACTTTTTTCACGTCTAGTGGCTGCTGTGGGGGCATATTTGGTATTCAGATGAAAACAAAGTTCGGTTACCTCTCCTGTGTCACTGGGAGAGGAAATGCCTCAGATTCAGTGTCTTGTACTCCGATCAAACCCTTGTCTCTTTTTGCTTTGTGTATCCCAACATTCCTGTGCCTGTGTCTCCTTTGTAAGTCTTACCTGTGGTTTCCTACTTAAGCCATGGCCTAGAAATTCTGGCATAGCCCTTCCCACAAATCACAGCACAGAGACACTGCCACCAGAAGCAGGCTGTAAGGTTCAAAGTGATTTGGTTCAAAGACCCTTAGAGCAAGGAGGCACATTGCCAGGAGATGCAAAATGAGTTGGAGGTTTTGGGCATGGGCCCTCAGGACAGAGAAATCCACACCATGAGACCTGCACCAACTAATTAGTTTCAGGTGGGTGGTGTCTATTTTGGGGCCCAACAGAAGGTGGGAAGACTGAGCGCCCCTGTTCCTTCTTGAACCCACCCCACTCTTCCAGTCTGAGGCCTACAGAGGTAAAGCCACCACGTACTTGTTTGGACTCCGTCTGTTCCTGGCTCAGGAAACAACCCAGAACTTTTTTCCAGTACTCAGGTCTCTTTTGTGGTGTAGGAAAAGGAAGAGGTTGTGGGAGTTCCCAGGGGACTTTGATGTCCTTTGCCGCTGAAGTTGAGGGCTTTGCGTTAGGCTCTTGGTTACCTTATGGTATGTTTCATGTCTCGCCCTCATCCAGCCAGGGACAAAGGACCTCGTATTGCAAGCTCTAACCTATGGGTCTGGATGTTTCTTAAGTTATAAAGGAATATTTATTACTTCAAAGAGGGGAAATGAGAAGGGGGAAAAGACACTGTAAAAAGAGAGTGTGGCTGGTCTTTGCCTCAAAGGAGAAGAGGAAGAAGGGAGAGCTGTGTTGCACTGACCACTGCAAATCATAAAATCACCCTAATTGAGCCAGCAGTGCAAACGGACACTCTATAAACACACCAGCAAGACTCAGGAAAAATCAGCCTGCACACAAGGAAGAATTCTTGGTAAAATGGAAAACATGTTTTACTCTCCTCCTCCCCATTTTTAGAAGAGGTAGGTCCCCACCAGTGGATACACCTTGCTTTTACCCTGAGGACAGTTGTCCTGGAGCTTCATTGCCCTTGGAACCAGATAAAAAGCTACAGAAATGCACACAGAACACTGTAAGGTCCAGCACCAGAATCTAGTGATGCAGCCATCATGGAATACCAGGCAAGGTAGGGATTTACGATCAATAGAAATTCAGCATAATATTGAGCTAAAGGACATAAAGCAAAACTGGAATTGCTGCATCAAATAATTTCAACGTGGAAAATAAGCCCTCCTGGTCATCCCCCGAACTCTAAGGTGTTTTCTTTTTTGATTAAAGGATTTTCACGGACGAAACTCCCATAGTTTACTTTGGAAGACAGTTATATTGTTAATCAGCCTAACCATCTAGGAATATTCTTTATAAATAACTGAATATCCTAGGCCTCGGTGTTGGCTTATTTTTCAGCCATGGGTAGAGTTGGGCATATACGCTTGGGGCACCAGCAAAACTTCATCAGAACAGACGGTTCGTCAGCTTCTAGTCTCAGAAACCATAGACTCCACAGTAGCCTCTAATGTCATAGTTCGCGTGCTAAGTGAGACGTTCGGGTAAGAAGTTTAGGGGGAAGACAGGGTGATGGGGAAGGAAGAACTATGTTTGGAGCTGGGCCAGTTCACAGCAGTATGTTAGCTTGGTGAGTCTTGTCCACTTCTCCCACTTTGGAGATGTGGTATTGGCTCGCTGTGCAGTGATTTATTGTCTCCAGCAATGGTCCCTTTCAGTGATCTTTTTGAGAAATTTAAAGAAAGACAGGCCCAAGTGAAAAAGGAACAGTTGAAGTCAAAAATCTCAGAAAAAGATTGCAAGTTCAGTAGCCGCAAGTTAATCTTTTTTCATCTAATGTTGATTTCTGGTGGGAACCTGGATGTCTTTCTGTGCCTACTCCGTATTTTTCTCATAGGTAAAGGAGAAGGGAGCTCTTGCTTTATAAACGGTGAACTGAGGAAATGTAAAAGTAATGTGACACATTCCTCGATACCCCTCTGGAAATAATGGCTTATACCTATGTGTGCTTATGCCTAGGTGTGTTTCAGTAGACCAGGAGTGGCCACGACAATTTTCATTTTCTTGACATCTGATGGCCCGGTACTTGGAGAACATCGGCGGCCAACGGTGACTGTTCACCTGACTGATGTCAGTGGGAACAACCACTCTCTCGGTGAGTCTGACAGTGGTCCCTTTAGGGCTGCTAGGGGATAAGCCAGCAGACCCTGGAGTCAACTAGGCTTCCGTCCCTTACATTGTCTGGGACCCTGCCTGGAGTACACAGCTATTGAAAAGATAAAAATGAATGCTAGATATGGAAACACAGTGCTGTATGGGTGGCTACGATATCATTCATCTTATTTCTCTTCAGGAACCTATGAACTGTCATGCCAGCATAACCCGCTGGCTATCAATGTGAGCCATCACCCGAATGTCCTCTCCCACCGTACCTCCTCAGTGCTGCTGAATTTCTCATCCCCATTGGTGGGCATCTCAGCGGTGGCTCTAAGGACATCCTCCCACATAAGTTCATCAACTCTCAATAACTGCATCCCAGAGCATGAGGGACAAAATCATCAGGGACAGAGGTACAAAGTCCCCTTTCTTCCTTTTTGTCTTTCTTTTTCTTGTGGCTGTGAAATACTACTATCATTTGCATACATATGATTTTGTTTTCAGTGGGTGCTTGATCACTAAAAAGTGGGTCTAAAAACTACTAAAAACACATAAGAAACAAGTAAAGAACAATTTATGGAAGGCACACTTGGTTTTCGCATTTTGCTCTTCTTTTCTTAGCTGAGCATAATTTTTTATGTAAATATTTAACATCTTTACAAGGTCTTAAAATCTTTTGTACATATAAAACCGCTGCCTTCACATCAGCATTGTTATATAAACTGCCAAAAATTTTCTGCCAAAAACTCAATGTTCCCTAAGCAATGTATATTTTTCCACTTGTTCCCACCTGGACAGTGTATGCAGCAAGTTGAACAGTTAGTTTTCAAGGCATGTCATATAATCAATTAGAGTTACATATGGAAATCAGGACTATGTTATCTACCTGGGTCTTTCTGTGGACATCTGCGATTGTCATCATTTACAAGAGGTTTCCTGAACTCTCTGCCTCATCTAGCAGAGGGACTATACTTTTATAATGTTGGTGCGCCCAAGGGTGGCCCGAAGGTGGGAGAGAGCATGCCAGACAATAATCTATGCTGCAGTTGGGCTGGATTCATTCTATGAGTGGTCTCATCAGTTGAGTGGGACTCTAGGTAATAGAGCTCATTCCCTCAAGGAGTCAGGTGATTGGGATCCTAGTCACAAAAGCTGGGGTTCCAGGCAATGCTCCATCACCAAGCAGGAGCTCTGATACTACTGTGCCCCACCTAGTTATACCAGAAACCCAGCTTTGATTAGGGAATAGCAGCAGACATTAGTGTGTAATATACCAGTTATC